TACCCTCCCCCCTTCCTCTCTCCTCTCTTCTCCTCCCCCGTTTCTCGAACACCGCCCCTTTTCTCCTCCATCACCCCCTCTCTCCTCCCCTTCTCCGGTCTTCCTCTTTTTCTTCGTCCGCCTCGCAACTCGCTCGCTCTTCTTTCTTTCGTCGTCTTCCTCGTCTTCGTTGATTACAAATGTATGTACACCTCCCGGGACCCCTGGCCACCTATCCCTTTCCCACGCGAGCCGGTGCCAAAAAAGAATTATCTACATGAACGAACCGTGATGCGCCCATCCATGGCTCTCGCCCCTCATCTCCTTAAGACCAGTCCCTTCACAGAGGTAACCGCAGGGGTGGGAGCTGCTCATCTAGCAACCCAACCGGCCAACCCCGAATTTCATTCAGTGCCAACGAGCAGTCTCTCCTATGAAGCTCCCGAAGGTGTCGCACTTCCACTGGCTTGCCTCTGTGGCGGCGGCGGTGGCAGCTGCGGGGTGCCTTGCTTCTGAGCTTGAGCCTGAACCTGAGCCTGAGCCTGAACCTGAGCCTGAGCCTGGGCCTGAGCCTGGGCCTGAGCCTGAGCCTGAGCCTGGGCCGGAGCCTGAGTCTGATTCTGTGCTTGAGGCTGACTTTGAGTCTGGGCCTGACCTTGGGCCTGCGCTGGGGTTTGAGCTGGCGTCTGGACTGCAACTGGGTTCGGAGCCTGGGCTTGCGCCTGGGTCTGTGCCTGAGCCTGTGCTGGAATTTGAGCCTGCGCTTGCGCCTGGAACTTGGCCTGGGCCTGGGCTTGAGGTTGGGCTGAAGCCTGTACCTGATGAGCCTGTGCCTGAGCCTGAGTCTGAGCCTGAGTCTGAGCCTGAACTTGAGCCTGAGCTTGAGCTTGAGCTTGAGCTTGAGCTTGAGCTTGAGCTTGCGTCGAGGCCTGTGATTGAGACTGTGGCTGAACTTGTGGCTTGACTTGTGGCTGCTGCTGGAGCTGCTGCTGAGGCTGCTGTTTTTGCTGAAGGGCCTGTTTCTGCTGAGGCTGCCTTTGTTGTTGAAGCTGTTGCTGTTGCGGCTTCTGCTGCAGATGTTGTTGCTGGGGCTTCTGCTGTGGAGGCTGCTGTTGGGCCTGAGGCTGAGGCTGAGGCTGGAGCTGCTGTTGCTGAGGTTGCGGTGTCGGGGAGGACTGCTGCGGCGTTGACCGTTGTTGAGCATGTTGATGAGCCTGCTGCTGCTGGTGTTGATGTTGAACCTGGTGCTGCTGCGGGTGCTGGTGCTGAGGTGTTTGTTGCATCGGCTGAGGCGAACGGTGCTGTTGTTGCTGCTGCTGCTGAACATGGTGTTGCTGCTGTGCTTGATGATGCTGTCCACCCTGGCCGGAGGCGTGCGCAGCCTGCTGCTGCTGTTGCTGCCTCAGAAGCGCCGCATACTGGTGGGGGCTGGGCGTCGCCGTGATTCCGTTCGCCATACCTGGAGACACTCCGCCCCCGCCTCCACCAGCTGCCGCGTTCATGGCGGACTGTGACATGTTGGCAGCGCTTTGCCGGTGCATCATGACCCTAGTGAGGTGCTCCCTAGCCATCCTGTGTGCCTGTTCCGGCGTCAACATAGGGTTTTTGGCCTTATATTGCATCTCCAGCGCTTGGATGTGGGCATTGATGTTGGACTGTGGCAATGCATCCGGAGCGCGAGGCGAGCCGGAGGGGCCATTTGGCATGTGCAACCCACTTGCAGGTGGTGTTGAGACGTTACCGTTGGCAGCGTTCATGGTTGCCATCATGGCTTGCGTTTGCGCATTCGCCATGAAGTTTTGCTGGTTGACGACTCCATTGGCAACATTGCCGTTAACACCGTTCATGCCGTTGACACCATTGACACCATTAACACCGTTGCCATTGATATGAACTCCGTTGGCGGTGCGTATGTTAGCCATGTTCGGAGGCGAGTGGGACGGCTGAGATCCAGGGGTGCCCTGATGCATCTGTTGGCCGGGTTGCTGTTGACTCTGTTGCTGCATCTGAACAGCATGGCGCTGCTGCTCAGAGATACGACGTGCCTGCATCATGACCTCGGTTTGTTGGTTCTGCATCGGCTGCATCCTATGCTGTTGCTGTGCTTGCAAGGCAGCAGCTTGCATCTGAGCGGGTGTTGCTCCATTCATCTGCATGGGAGGTACCAGGTTGCCCATTTGCGGCGCACCGGCATGCGCCATACCGGCCTGCTGCGCGGGCATCGGAACACGACCTCGGACTTGTCCGGCGGCGGCGGCGGCGGCGGCGGCAGCAGCGAGCTGGTTTGGACCATTCGCTCGAGGCATGTTGAGCTGTGCAGTACCGTTCGGAGCCTGCTGGCCGGCACCAGGCGTGGTGGGAACTTGGCCATTTTGACCTTGTGCACGTGCTTGTGCCGCGACCTGTGCCAGTCGTCAGTAACGCCGTTGCGTGGTCAAGGATATCCGGAAGAACGTACCTTGCGCTGAGCCTCTTGTCGCTGGTGGTATAAAGCCACCTTCTCAGCAAGTGCCTGATCGCGCTCCCATCTCATGATGCTATAGTCCCTAGGCGTCTTCGTTGGGCCCCTAGGCTGCACGGCCTCGTTCGCCTTCCGCATGGCCGCTGTCTGGGAAGCCTGTTGTTGCTTCTGGGCGGCGGCTTCTCGCTTCTTGGCCAGCTTCCTCATCGCGTCGATGAGCGTGAGGTGCTTCTGCTGTCGGCGTCTTTCAACCCTAATCGGAGTGCTGCTTGGTCGTCTTCGGGGAACCGGGGTGGTGGGCGTGTTGTTAGGGCCACCCGCTGCTTGCTGCTGCGCCGACTGTTGCGCCGGTTGCTGCTGCTGCTGCTGCTGCTGTTGCTGCTGTTGTTGCTGCTGCTGCCGCTGCTGCTGCTGCTGCTGCTGCTGCTGCTGCTGCTGTTGCTGTGCAAGCTGGTTGTGCTGCATGATGACACGCTGAGCAGCGTCAATTCTGTTCTGGTACGACTTGAAGTACTGGGTCTTCTGCATGTCCGACGGCAGACCTTCCAGATTGATCCAGCGTTCAAAGCACTCCCAAGGCGTTCGCCTTTCAGCTCCTGGTGCATACAAGCATCGAGGGGCCAGGATGCTCGAGATGAAGGACCAATTGTATGAGTATTGTCGAACCAGATCGCGCAGCTCCTCATCCTCTGCCGGGGTCCACTGCGAGGCATGCCGACTCTCGTAGAAGGACTGCATTGGCATGTTGTATTCTGCCGGCGGTCGGAATTGATGGCTGGCGTGAAGCCGATCCCTGATTGATTTCAGGTCAGGGTTAAAGAGCGCAACATCAGCGCTTTCGGGAGCAACATTAGTTCCTTTGAAGCGTTCTTCGCCGAATATAACACGGTCCTCGTCATCTTCTTCCTCTTCCTCGTACTCGTAGCGACCTCGCTTACGTGGCGGTCCCTCGGACAGAAGCTTCATCTGGCCTTCAACATACTTGTTGAGTGGCAGTGCAGGTCGCTTCCAGTGCGCATCCGGGTCGAACTCGGGTCCGGAGAAGTCAAAAGTAGGTACCTTAAGTGGAGCACCATACATCGGAAGCTCATCCAGCAACAAATTGGCCGTTGGTGAACTCCGCATGGCGAAGACGACGTCGTCCTCTTGCAAAGCAAAAATCGCCGAGGGAGCAACCGTTTCAAGAATGTCATGGTGAACTTCCTCAAGATGTTCTGGAGTGTCCACGTCGCCTGCGATCAGATCAAGAGTGCTGGATCTCGCGGCATCCTGTTCCGATTGGGTCATCAAAACGTCGCCATCGGATGCTTGGGTCTTTGGTGGTATCACGGCATTGATCTGCAGTGCTTTGCGATCTTCCTCGCCTGAGTGAACCCAGAGAGCACAGGCGTTTGCGAGGTTGCGAGCACATGCCGTCTTCCATTTTCGTTCTTCACGGAAATCCGTCCGCATCCACTTCGCTTCTCCGAGAAGCACGTCCCAGTGAGATTCCTGCCTGGCTGGCTCAGGACACCGCTTCGGCTGTCGGAGGAGCCATTTGTCCTGCTGCTGAAGGTTGTATACCCGTCTCAACACGCGACAAGCCTGGTTGTCCAACAGTGCGATGTTCGCATCTGAGGTCGAAACTGTCTTGTGCGCTTGGTTCAGTACCACTTCGATGGGCTTCATCCACTTGCTGGATTGGCTGAAGCCTTGGACAAAGAGCGGAGTGAAATAGTCGTCCGTGGGCAGATAGGATTCAGTCTTCGGATCCCTGTTTAGAGCATTCTTGTCGGACGATGATCGCTTGTGAGACTTGCCAAATACAACAGCCGAAATCTGGTTCTTCGGCTTCTGCTTTCGTCGATACAAGCCCGACCTGGACCGGGATGCTGGTGACTGAGGCGTGGAAGTGACGGGGGTTAATTGAGCACGCGGTACATCAACACTGACAGAGTCTTCCTTGGCTGGCGCAGCCCGCGTCTCGCCTAGAATCTCAGAGACAGACTTTTGTCGGATGGCTCCGGTGCTAACTCGTGTGACTGCACGCTCAGGTGCGTGAGCTACATCAGCCGGCATTTGGTGGGAAGAAGAAATCGCATCGGCGGAATTTGCTGTGGGCGGCACTGTCGGCTGGGACGTCAGCTTGACGGCTTCCGTTTTCTTCTGAGGAGGGGCTGCCGTCGGCGGGTCAACGTCCATACGATCGGCGGAAGCTGAATCCTGGCTGTCGGGAATTTCTGCCGGAGAAGCTGCAGCCAAAGCCGAGGGTTGAGAGCTTGCGGTGGTCTTGACATTTGGTGAGGTCGATGGCGAGATAAGCTTTTCTGTAGCCGAAGGTTGGTTGGACCTCGATGGTTCTTGTTTGACCTCGACAGGCTGTGGTACTGGCACAGAAATCTGGGGCCGTGCCAATGCAGATTGAGCCGCCGCCCTTTTCGAAGCGACACTCAGGGATTCTTGGATCAGTTGAGCCTCGGGGCCGTCCAATACTCGGGCCTCGGTCGAGTCGCCCTCGTTAGAAGCCATAACCTCCGATTCCAGAGCCAATTTCTTCGCAGGCGGTTCCGCCTGTGCTGTGTGGCTTTGGCCATCGTTGCGTTCGGCAAGTCGTGCTGGCTCGTGCTCCGGACTCGTTTCTGTCGATACATCTCCAACAACGGGTGTAGCAGCGGTGTGCGCAGTCGATCCGGGGGAGGACAGAATGTCGGCAGGACGCGACGCTTCCTGGACCTGCTTTGACCGAGTGACTCCATTCTCGATCCTTGCATCGTGGAACTTTTCGGCTGGCGACACGGCCGAAGACGGGAATGGACGTGTCATAAGCTTCGGCTCGGCATCCTTCAGTTCACTTTCTTGTGGTGTGCTTTCCGTCGCGCCTGTGCGTATGCTGGTCTCGCCAGGTTGCTTGGTGTACCTGGAGACATGACCATTCGGCCCAACATGTCCATTGGAAGGCGTGTGGATAGAGGTAGGCGGGACAATCCTCTGCGCAGATGTTTTTGGAGGAGCTGGAGAGATCGACTGAGGGTGTATGGGTTTCGGCGGTAGAGATAGGTCTAATGGCTTCTGCGGCGGTCTAGTTGGCTGCACCGAGATGTCGTGGCCCGGGGTAGGTGTCTGCGGCTTAGGTTTAGGGGTCGTCGTTGCGTGCTGGGTGTGTTTGTTGTCGAGAGTCGGAGGTTGTAAGGGGTTAGGAGAGGGTGTAGGCTGCGCAAAGAGGTCAGACCTCTCTAAAGAGTGCCTAAAGGCATCATATCGCAGTGGTGGGCGCGCAGGGATGCTGCGCTCATCGAGGACGCCCCTAAAAGCATGTTAGTCGGATGAGGGCGAGCGGCTCGTGCGAAACATGCGAGCGGGAGCGAATATCGATTGCGCGGCAGGGTGCAACGTACTTGAAGATGTCGCTGCTCTGCAGAAAGTGCAGTTCGGCGGGCAGGGCGGGCGTCGCGTCGGGGGTCGCGAAGTCGTTGGTGGGTATACCATCGTGGGTTGTCGCGACTGCGTACAGCTGGCGAAGCTTGCGCTTCCGCGACGTCACGATTGAACTACGCATCGTTAACAGGCCATCCATGGTATCGCTGGCATCGGAAAGAGTAGGGCTATCGAACGCAAGGCAGACGCACCTGAATTCATCGCGTTTGGATCGCAAAAGCCTGGCGCGGTCGGCAGGCCCGACCTCAGTCATAGCATCAGTCGCGGCGACATCCGTTTTTGGGGAAAACGGAATGTCGAGGGGACTCGTGAGCCTCGTGCGAGATGAAATAATCGGTCGGCGAGGATGAAAAGGGCGTGTGGTGGTGGCGGCGATTGATGGCGATTGACGGGTCGATGGGGGGTCGCG